GTTTGTTTTCCTAAGTTACAGACACCGGCCCTGTTGGTGTCTGTTGTTTTTGAGTTAAAGACTGTGAGATTGAGTTCACTCAGTCTCTGTCTTTTGCTTTGTTAACAGAAACTAACGTTTAGTGTACTTGCATAGGTAACGTTATTTCAAAAGTCTGAGTTTGTTTACAGACAGTTTAAATTAGCGTTCACGTTAAATAAGCGTATATCATTGATGTAATGGTAATTATAATACTCTTACAATAACGCTGAAAGTAAAAAAACAAAAACAACAACATTAATTACTATTCTGAAACATCCTTTTGTAAGTGCGTTTGAGGGGGTGGTTGGTTGTCTCCTGTCTTTGCCAATTTGTGGTCTGAGTCCGGCTCGAACATAAGACCGGATAACATTTCCCTCAGCAATGTCCATCATTACAGGTGTTTTATTTACCTCACTTGTGAGCATCACCAAGCCACAGCAGGTTACTGCATACATGACCCTAGTTACCTGTGTTTGGCCTGGACATGCATCACTCAGAAAACAAAAGGCCAATCAGAAGAGAGGCTCATGAATATTAATTAGATGGGCCAAAATCGACCTGTTCTTTGCAGAGCTCCTGAGAAAGGAGCTGTAAAAATAAATTGAGATGGTTGTTGGTACTTATATCGCAAATATATATTCTTAAGGACATCAAAACCTAAAATAAAACTCCAGAAAGGTGTACAATATGGGACCTTTAAATGCATAATATGTACGATTTTTGCATTAAAATATTCAAAAAACAACTTGCACAGTGTTATATATTTTGTTAAATTGTGTACTTGCGTTATTCCAATTGTTACCAACAATGTTTAAAGGTGCTATATGTAGTTTTTAGCGGCCTCTAGCGGTGATGTTTCAGATTGCAACAAGAGTGTGCGTGCTCGAACTCAAGAGCGAGCACTCACTACCAGCCACACTGAGACTTTCAACACAACAGAGAAAGCATCACACAACTTGCTGGAAACTCATGTAAACTCCCACTGCAACGTTGCAATAATAGGCTACTTTTATCAGCTTGACGTTGAACTAATGCTCCATGCTCGTACCATGATAACGTTACATTGACTGCATTTAGCTGACGTGGTGTTATCTAGCATAAGGCATTTCACTAACTATTCGTGTATCTAAAACAAAGCGGAGGTCTCTCCATAATTCAAACGCTCTGCCGATGTTGATCCGTGTTTTCGTCCCGAGTCGATCCGATTGACGTTTGGCCTGACGAGCTTCAGCAGATAAAACTTTTTTTTGTTTTTTATATTTTTGTGGAGTTTGTGTTGGGGTCTGTGTTGTGCTGGAGGCAGGTCGTTTTTGGGTGTTATCAGACTCCATGTCGTTAGCTGCAGTGCCGTCGCATAGACTATATAAAAAGGAGAGAGGCTCAGGAGCGCGCATGCACGTCACATTCGATGGATTTCGCAGAAAATCCGACCCGGAGACTTCACATAGAAATAGGTATACTGGCCTTCAGAGGTAATAGCAAAACCCGACAAGCGGATCATTGTAATGTGTGATTACAACCCCTTCATACACAGGCAATAAAAATTATTCATTTTAGAAGAAAAGTTACATATAGCACCTTTAATTCCAGAGAAATTTGCAATGATAACCAGTGTTATGGCCCGTGTCATTGTGTCGCCTTTCAGTGGCGTACACACAGAGCGAAGAGAACACACAGTGACGTTATAACATAACTTTTAACACACTCAAATGTATATTAGTATGATTGTTTTGACCAAGTAAAACAGCATTGCGTTACCCCACAATTTTATTTAATCAAATAAAGTGACCTGTATGAGTAGTAATATTGTTTCATTAGAATGAGATAAAATAATGTGAATTTAAGTGATCAAATGGAACAAAAACAAATTTCAAGTTCAGGGAAGGAGGAGGCAGGAAACGGCAAACGCTTAAGTTTAATAGTGTAATAGACATAAACAACATAACAAAAGAAGCGGCTAGGCCTGTCACGATAACAAATTTTGCTGGACGATAAATTGTCCAAGAAATTATTGCGATAAACAATAATATTGTCGTTCTGAGACCATTTACATCTAAAATAATGATAATGGCATAATAATGCAGGTACACCTTTTCAAAGATCAATAAACTTTTATTTCTAAAGACTATTTAACACTGAAAATGGAAAACATTTTAAATATCCACAATAAATGAACAAAACAACCAAAAACAATCAAAGCAATGGACTCTCAGTCTCTGTTAACAAAAAATGCACTTGAATAAATACCAAAAACAATAAATAAAATGGATGTAAACAAAACCCGACCCTACCCTATGATAAATTATTTGTTATTAAAGCATTAACACACAAACCACTGTTAATTGAACATAAAAGCAAGCAGCTACTGCGTGCATGGTTTGGCATGACTGAATGGGCGCAAAGTGTGCTTAATAATTCCTAAAAAGCTGACAGTTCATCGCGATCTCACACATCTCTGTTATTATCAATGAAGTGAGTGCATTACCGCCCGCGCTCGCATTCAGTCATCAAATCTAGTGCCGCACCGCACTCTATTGCGTTGGAAGTGCACGTCTCAAGGGCCCGGCCTGGCCCAAGGATAGTGTCGGGGTCGTGTCGGGTCAAGTTCGGGCTCGGGCTCTAGTTCTAGCTCTAGTTCACTCCTCCTACGCTAAGGAACCTAAGTTGGCTTAGGAAGCTAAGTTGTCATCCAGTCTCTTTGGTAGAGAGAGAGAGACGAGGAAAACAAACAAGCATGTGAATGGAACTTATCGCGGCCGGAAAAATGATCAAGCTCATTTTTTTTTATCGTGCGATTAATTGATTTATTGACTATCGCGACAGGCCTAGCAGTGGTCAACTACGGCATGCAAGTATAATATAAACTGCAATGTAAAATGTACCAGGCCTGGTCCTCTCTCGCCCTTCAATGCAGTTATTCCTCCTCGTATCCTTCTGGAGCTCCTCCATGGGACTCGAGGCTGGTGTGTCGTGCAGGTATCTCTCATTAGCATTCGCTCCACCGGCTTCTTTCCGCTCCCACGGCTCTCGGCCCCACCCTGATCCATACCAAAGTAACGTTAGTAAACTTTTATGCATTAGCTCATCCATGAACATGATTTCTGCCTGAGTCCCATCAGATTGCTTTCCGTCGGCTGCGGAGTTGAAGTCAACATCTCCCATGATTCCACGCTCATTCACGGCGTCATCAAGCTACGCCGTTGTTATTGTTTTAAATAAGCGACCTCTAGTGGGGAAACTTACATACGGTTCCTTTTGAAATGTGTTACTGTTAAACAGTTATTTTAATCAATTTGCAGCCCATATAATATATTTTAAATCTTTAAAAAGGTTTGTATGTTTAACAAAGCAAAATTTTGCTTCCTGCTTTGGTACAGATCCACAAACTGTAATTTCAAATACTCAATTGCTGCGTGATTGACTAGATCTGTTGAACTACACTGCTCTTAGAAATTCTGAGTGGTCTGAAACATGTTTCATTTAATAGTTCCCAGGTGTATTTCCAAGAAGCAATGTCTACCTCGCTGTAATGCACTTTATATTTCTTCAGTTGTGTTTGTTTACAAGCCTATCTTTTGTCTGCAAGCCTGTAAGTAGTGTGGCAGGAATGAATCTTCTGCTCATTCTCTCTCACCCCATGTGTTTGAAGTCTCAAAGCTCCACCATCTTAGCCTTCAGCCCTCTCTTTCTGTCTTCATCTTGGATAATAAACAGACACCTACTTCTAATGAGAACCATAAAGCCTCTCCCATTTCATTCTTCTCTTGCTCAAATTAGGTAGCAGTATGTATATTTTCTGGCTTTGTGAACGCCCCTGTTGGTGCTCTTGTTAAATTTAATAACCTCAGTTCTATTTCTCTTTATCCCCGTCAGGTTGGTGTGGAGTTTTGTAACAAAAGGATTCCTCTGTGCACTGGAATAAATCAGCCGAAAATGAGGAACTGTTGAGCGTGAGTATGATTTCATGTGTTCCCTAAATATTGTGTTGTATTATGAGCTTTGTGGAAATCCGCCTGGTTTGCTAATGCTGTTTGTTCGGTATCATTCAGATTAACCTAATTCTTGACCTGATTGTAATATGCATAATAATAATTTAATTAGATGGGACATTGTTTAATATGCGACTCTCCGTTGGTTGACATGCGATTCAGGACAACATGTAAGGACACAAAGTTGTCCGTGAGAAGTCACAGACAGATGGTGTAGTACACACACCTACGCTCACTTTCACTCATGTCTTTTCAAGGAAAACAGTCTGTTTAATAGATTAAGACAGGAGGATTAGGCTTTTACCTGGTTTTTGGTGGATGTTCTGCAGCTCTTAAATGTTACACATGTTTAAATGTAGAAAATATTTCAAAATATCCTTAAAACAAAATAAATTTACTTGACAAGCAGAACTGCTTAAAATATTGAGTTGACTTGAAAATCGATCATTAAAATAATGAGGTAAGAAAAATAAACAATTCAACCATAAATCTAATACAATTGTGATTAAAATGTTCAAGATCTAGGCTATTCTCTGAAAACAGATTAATCTAGGGGTCAATGACATTAATTCTTTCCACGCCATTGACAATTTTCCCTGATTTATTATGACACACAACGCTTCCCCACCATTGACAGAATTTTTTAGCAATCTGTATTCCCACTGTTATACAGTAGAGCCCGCTATTACACATCTTCTGAAATAGAACAGCATCTCTGGATCCAAAAACAAGTGAAGAAGCTGCAGAAACAAATGATAGAAGCATTGCTTGTGCACATGTCATCAAAATCATATAAATCAAAACTGCCTAACATTACAGAATGAAATGTCGACCCAGGAAGAAGACATGGCTGTGCAGACTTTGTGGGTGTTGATGGACTCAATCTGTGTTTTATTCATCGTTCAGTCTGATCTAGTTGTAGTCTTTCACAAAAAAATTATTTTCTCAGTTCTTTCTTTTGATATACTGGTATTGTATGTTCAGATATTCATACAAAAAAAAATATTCTAGGGCCCATGAAAGTTTTGTGAAAATGATCAAAAATGCTGGTGGTGGCTGGCAAAAAAAAAAAAAAAAAAAACTGGCACTGGCATGTGAATACCATTTTCAAGAAAATAATGACAAGTTTCAGTTGAAATCATCATCAAATTTGAATAAAAGCAATAACATTCTTACTCAGTGAGTACATGTGAGTGAAAATCTCGAACATTATTTTTTAAAGATGATTTAAGTATATTTTTGAGGTAAAAGGTGTTATTTTTTGGTAACTCAAATATCACATTAAATAAAAATATATTAAACAGTGAAGGAGTTTTAAAATATTTTTATTTTCTTAATCAATGAAAGTAAAAGATAATGCTAAACAAATTTTTTAATATTTTCATCTTTTGAATGGGGCTTTTTCCTTATCATATCAGGACTGTTGTATCACCAAGACATTTTTGACTCTATACTGGCCCAAAATATCAAAATCAATTTTAATACAGAAATAGAAACTTGCACGTCATAGAAGAGATATTTAAGTCATTGTATGTATCTATGCACATTATGAATTTGATTTTTATGTTTTTTTATTTATTATTATTATTAACAGAAGTGAGCCTAATGCCATTGGCCCTTTCAGAGTTTTGCTTCTCAAGTAGTTTAAAGGGTGTTTAGATATTTTTACTGCAAAATGAGACAAAAATACATAATATGAAAATATAGACACTCCAGATGTTCACAAATAGCTTTAGGCTAGCTAAACAGAGTGCTTTCAGTCACATAGCAGGTGCCGTTATAATGAGTATGGAGGAACAATGCGCCACCCTAGGGTTTCTCCTGTGAATCAGCAGGGTGCTTGGATTAACTGTCCAGCGCAGGACTATGATCTGATACTGCAGCTCCAACGCTCCACACACAGTGTGCAGGTTCATTGGATGAGAGTCACGGCTGTTAAGTTATCTGGGAGTAGTCCTCTTTACAGGACTGATCTGCCATACACTGATAAGAGCTTCTGGAGTGCGGCATTAAGGCTGCTTTCATTAGGACACAACTGTTTGCTACACAGGAACACCAGTGAAATGGAGGCAGTGACACGGCCTAATTTAATCACACTCATATGCTGCTCGAATGTTCAATCTGCAGCTGCCATAATGCAAGCAAAACAATAATTTCACTGCATAGTGGGACTGCAGTGTCTGAAAGATGTGATTTGATTTGAAACACTTATTTAGTTTTCAATTTATCTCTTCTAAAGTGTTTTTGAATTCCATGGGAATATGGAAGATGCTGTATAAAAATATGGAAGAGCATAATCATTCTTTCAGAATTTGTATTTTTAGGACAGTTGTAAAAGCATGTACCCTATGTTAAAAAAAAAGGACACTGGAAACAAGAGTTGTTAAACTTACAACCATCTATTGTCTAAATAGATAAACCATATATTTTTTAATAATAGTATAATCCCACACAGCTTTGATGCGTAATACGCTGATTTCACGCAGCCGCCATTTTGAAATCGCTCCGGTGGGAAGAAAACCGTAAGTGTCGCTTTTAATCATAGGAGAGTCGCGAATGCGATGGCGTATTGTTGTGTTTAATGTAGAAATTAGTTATTCTAAAAATGTACATACATTTCTTTCATACTTTAGACTATATACAGTGAAATTCATTTATAAAAAAAAAATTTTTTTTATATATAATTCAGAACGGAAAAAAAAGAAGCAGGAACGAACTATATACATACCCTATATTGGATATTAACATCCAATAGTGTAAATCGCGGCAGCGACATGGGCCCTCATTGGCCCTCATTAAATTATGGAATAATTGTTAAAAAATAAATAAAATAGGCATATTTGTGGAAAAAATATCTAATATTTGAGTTACATAAAAGCTTTTTATTTGTTTTCTTCCTAATTGGAAGAGCAATTAGGAAGCTAATTCCCCCCCCCCCCCCCCCCCCCAAAAAAATGGTTTGGCCACTGATCAAAATTTGATGTTGTCATTTGATTTGAAGTTCAGTAGGCTAAAGGCCTGTTCACACCGGGACGAATTTCGCGCGTGATATTCGCCGACGTTTAACGCCTCGTGACTAAACAAAGGGCGCCAATGTGAGTGTGCACACCACAGTCTATGGTGCACACCGACACGAAAAACGCCACACTTAAAAGCGTAATTTTTTTAAAAACGCCTCGGGTTTGTTTTTTAAGGCTGCGTTCACACTGCAGGGGCTTAATGCTCAAATCCGATTTTTTGAAATAATTCGATTTTTTTGCAACGCGTTCACATTTCCAATTGAATGCGACCTTTTTTGATCTCCTGTGTGAACATGAAATGACCCAGAAGTGACCCGCATGCGCAGAAGAGTACTCAACGGTCAACGACGTCACTTGTTTGCGGAAGTAGCTAAACATGAATGTCAACAGTGGAGCTCGTTTAGCAATATTAAAGTTATTTGTGTGGGTGCGGAGTCGCAGCCAGGAGTGGTGGGATATTTATGTGAGTGGCTTCACTAATACAGAATTCATCAGTAACTTCCGAATGACCAGATCCACCTTTGATTATGTTTGAGCACATTCGATTAACTCTGTCACGGGAAGAGACACGTCTGCTGCGGACCATAACAGTGCAACGCGTTGGAGTGTAGTGGCTAGCTACGGCGGCGGCATCTAAGATTATGTCTTAGACTGTCAGCTGGCCTGCTTTAGGTCACGACATTATGAGTCAAACATCTGGGTTTTACGGCTAGAAGCAAGGGTGTAGGCTAAGAATATTCTGAAAAGTGGGTGGTGCATATTGGTAAAGGACAAGTTCAGTATTTTATACTTAAAGCCCTGTTTTAAGATCGTTTCTGATGAAATAGAACAGTTAAGATTGAAATTTGGACACGTGCTGCTGGCCCGAGAATTTTCGGTTTCTGTGGTTGCACCGCCAAACATTTACATTTTATAAAAATCACTGAAAAGTATTGAAAATATTCAAATCAGGATGTGTAGTTTGTGCATAAAAATGTCTGTTAAAAAACAAGACATGTTGAAGGGTGTTCACTAACCCATCAAAGTTTTTCAACTGGATTGGCGTTTATCTTTAGCATGCAGTGTGAAGTATTTAACTCAGTTCCTTGATCATTCCAATACAATTTCAGTAAGTGAAGAACAAATTTATACTCACTTGCGTTATGTATTATGCACGTTAGCATCTCTGACAGACAGCATGTTGAAGCTGCGCGGGCTGCTATTTTCTCCCTCTTCTCGGAAAGCGATGACGCATTCTAAGCATCCGGTAGTGTGAGTTTTCCAGGAAATGCTTGTACTCGCATGTTGTGCATGTTATTTTTTGACAGACATTGATGATGTGATATTCAAATGATGTGGATTTGGAATCAGATGGATCATAAGGTAATAATTATTTATTAGCTGGCAAATATTCAGTGAAGTGATTTGATGCCCATGAGTGTGCTATGTCAATGTTTTTAGTTCTAATATTCCAACCGACAGCCAGACGACGGACATGAGTGGTAACGTTGAAGGGTGAACTGTTTGATTTTTGGGTAATTAAAAAATGCCATGGAGACATTCAACATGCATAGTTCATGATGTTTTATTTATTTATTTATTTATAAAGGGACCATGCACAATTTTCTTGTATTGTACCGGATTTAGCTAAAGGCTATTTTTCATCCGTAGTCCCCCAGGCAGGTCAAAGCTAACATAACATTACACCGACAATACCTATGTTCACATACAATAAATACATACATACACGCATACTGTCAAGGCCATAAAAAAACATAAATAAATAAATCAGTCAATCAATCAATAGAACTACAACAATCTCAATGGTTACATAATTGGTTCAATTTAAAAAAAGATTTTAACTTTAATTTAAAAAGACGATGAGCTTTACACCCTTTTATGTCCTCTGATAGGGCATTCCACTGATTAGTGGCTTTCACTGCGAAAGATGATAGTCCAAAC